TTGCAGGTATGGCTAGTCGTACTCTCACTTGTAAATATTGTTAATTATCTAAAAAAAAGCCCCCAGCAATAGAGGTCATCTTAACAAAAAAAAAAAAAACTAATAAACTAAAAATAGGTTTATTATAGGGATGTTAATTGGTCCCAATTAGTTCTAATCAGTCCTAAGATGATTTGAAAAATTGCTAATTCCAGAAATGTGTAATTGCTTATATCTAATAAGTAACCTATCTTAAAATATCTCTGAGAAGAACTTTTATTAACAACGTTTGTTAAAAAAATCATAAAAATTAGAAATTTGCTTGGGACTGATGCCAACTAAATTGGTCCTAGGACAGATTTGGTTGGCATCGGTCCCAAGCAAATTTCTAACTTTTAAGATGATTTTTTTAACAAATATTGTTAATAAAAGTTTTTTCCAGAGATGTTTAAGGCAGGTTACTTATTGAATATAAGCGATTACACATTTCTGGAATTAGCAATTTGTCAAATAATCTCAGGACTAATTAGGACTAGTTGGGGCCGATTAACACTCTCTAGTTTATTATAAAGATTTATAGTTAGTTATAAATAATTTTTAACAAGTTTACTAAATGCATTAGTGGCGCTAACACCCTATCAATTTTATCTAATAATATTATTAATTTGCCATATAATATAAAAATTAGTTATAATATAAAAATTATTTGTTTTTCAAAAAAATCTTTAATAACTCAAAATTTTACTTATAAAACTACCTTAAAGCTCTAACAAAAAAAATTCTTTACAAAATTTTAGTATAATTATGTTCTTGCTCTATTAAAAACTTTAGTCTTAACCTTAATACTAGTCAAATTTATTTTTATTTATTTATTTAGTTTTGATAATGATCTTTATATTACACAACATACATAATATACTGGTGCTAGCATCACAGGTTTGCTTTAGCAAACTTGTATTTTAATAAAAATATATTTATTATATATCTAGTATATTTTAATTATATCTCTTTGACATCAATTTTGTACATAAGAACATTTAATTTCATACAAAATAATATTTAATTTCATACTAAGTGACATCTAATTTCGTACAAAATGATATTTAGATTCATACAAAGTGAAATTCAAATTTGTACAAAGTGACAATTAAAATAAGTTTAATTAAATTATGATATCTTACATTGTAGTGATCCAATATAGATGATTTTGATACTATTTGAATTGTCTTATCGAGAGAATTTGAATACAGTTGGCCCTCCCTAAACTGATCTTGCCAAAACTGATAACCTATTATAATCAGTTAAAAATCGATCCACCACGTCTGTTCTATAATTAATACCTGATGACCTGCAATTTCTGATATCCAATAGTCTTTATTTCTAGGTTTCTGATTTGCGTGATAGTGTCACATAAAATGTATCCAATCAAATTGCATGAATTTACTGTTATTACGTATTAGATGTTAATTTAGCTTGTCATATAAAAAACCTCTAAAACCTTATCAGCGTAGTTTTTTTTAAAAAATCAAGGTTGTATATAATAAGTGTATGCATTTCGAATTTTTTACTTTCTATGACAAACTTTTAAACATGTACTATACCCGGGCTCTGTTAGGGTGGAACATATTAGACAGGGTATAGTAAAAGCGATCTTACAATTAAAATGAACTTATAATTTATTATGTTCAGCAAAGACATAATCAACGCTTTATACTTGTTAATAAGTGACTGACCTTTATTTATAATATTTTTGTTCACTGACATTACCATAGTCTCATATCATAATATAACTTTTTTTATGCAAGTATAAAGAAATCTTACCTGACTTAATAAAATTTTCGAGTTGGTTCATTCCTAAAATTATGAGTAACATGTGATGAAGTGCCATCTAGGATGAGTAAGATATGACAATTTAATTCCTTCATTTCTTCATCCAATTTTTTGATCTATTCCTGAAAATGGCAAAATAGTTTGATAACAATATTGTACTAATTTGTACTATAAAACACAATAAAACTATTTTATCTTGGGAATTGACTAGAAAAATCATTATTTGAAAATAATTGCCAAATGGTGGTTTTCTTAGTCTATTTCCCATTTGCACCAGGCATATTTGAGATTTTGGATATAGTATTTAACAGACTCAGCGTGAGTTAATAATTCATATTTTATTATTATTTTAAGGCTTTTTTGGTCTTTGCAACAAACTTTATTACACTTATAAATTTTAGAAAATGTTTAAAGCATATTCAAAAATGGTTTTCTTTTACTATTTTGCAATAAATTTGCAGGTTTCATCATTCGACAAGGAACAAGGATTATGTAAAAAAATGAGTAGTCTCTGAATGATATTCGTATAATAAATGTTATTAACCATATTTATTATCGATGACCGTACGCACTATCGATATTAATATTACATATTAGAGAAAAAAAACATTTTGATCATAGGATTAGATGTTGTACATAATCTTAATCCAGTTCTGTTCTAGAACAATAATAGTAATTTATCTTTATTGGTTCATAAGGACTGCAGTTTATCTTTTCAATTCATTTATCGATCTAATCCTAAAGCATCCTATTGTTACGCACGGGCGGTTTGGATCAAAAATGATCGCTCACAACGAAAGAAAATAAAAATCAATAATTTACATTTGAGTACTTAAAACAAATTATAAAGAGAGCCACGTTAACATTATTTTATGTAAATATTTATTTTATCCGTAGAAAGGTGAGCATTTCGTTTGTTTAATTTATATTATTATCAGCATAAAATATGCACTGAAAGATGAAACAATTAAAAATATATTACTAATAACTGTGATTATTTATACAGTATGATGAGAATTTATCTCAAACAAATTATTTCGACCTCAATGTCTTCTCAGAAATTTGATTTTTTTACACGATTTAATGAATTTGTTATTGCAATTTTCGCTTTCACAATTATTTGGAATATTTGTGAAGGAATAGTAGCGATAGATTACGGAATTCAATGCAAGTCATTCAGCCTTTTTTTTCTTGGAATCAATGTTTCTGTTTGCGTGATACCTCCAAGCTTGGCCTTACGAGAGTTCATTAAAAAAATAAATTCTAATGAAGAAAAGGCGAATTCCGATATACAAGATAGTATAATATACAAGAACGAAAGAAAAATCGAATTTATGATGATGATTCTTTTTATATTACTTACCACGATTATTTTTACGTGCGCAGTAGCTTTCTTGGTTCTTAAACAAATTCCACAAACTACTTTTCCAGGATTGATAATCACCAGCATTTCATTAGTTATTACGTTGCTTCTTTGGTCAGGCAAACACTGTCTTGCTAGAAAATTAGATAGTTCAATATTATCATACGAAGCTCGTTATTCATTGGTTTGCTTAGAAATTATAGCAATTGTTTTCTTAAGCAATCTATTATATCTAATTTTACCGAATATTTGGTGGTTGGATTCGGTAGCGACTTTAATACAAGGAATACCACTTATTATAGAAGGTTTCGAAATGTATGCAAGACGCAAATCAAATAAAACTAATGAAAAAGATTGCAGAATTACTATAACGATTGAAGAAACTACTTGTTCTACAAAAGAACAAAAACCTAGTTTTCGAAAGTCTTTTAATTCTCTTAGTTCTTTTAGTTCTTTTAGTTCTTTTGGTTCTTTTGGTTCAGGAAAACGACAGTCTTCTTTTGGTTCAGGAAAACGACAGTCTTCTTTTGGTTCAGGAAAACGACTGTCTTCCAAGCTTCGTGCAAAAATTAATGAAGGGCAAAATAAAGAACCTGAAAGTTCAAATTTTTTAGACATTACTTTCGAAAAAAAATCAATGGATATAGAAACGCTAAGATGAATTATTCTATTTACTTTTAGTTATAATAGTTCACACTTTGTATAAATTAAAAATGATCTTTAATTATTTTTATTTCCTTGAATATTTAAAAAATTCTTTTAAAAAACTCCCTTTCTGATTCTTTATGAACTAGATCACAAGGTTCAAAGTTTCAAATTTTATTGTATAAAATTTTATTTAATAGATTTGTTATTCGCAATTTATTTAAGGAGGCTGTCATCTCAAATTACACGTGCTGTTTTACGAAAGATGTATCAAGCAAATTATAAACAAAAATGTGCTAAATTTTATTAAATAAAGAAAACGTGCATGGCTTGTATACATACCAAAAGTCATCCTTTGAATTTCACCGATTGAATAACTTAGATGTAACTAACAAATTTATCACAACTCAAATCGTTAAAAATTATTAATATTATATTTTACATAAAAAAAAAAAAGTCCCATCGTCCCTATGTTCACAAAATAAAAATCTTCAAGCTCATTAAATTGCTTTACTATTATTGTCTTTGAAGTTTACAAAAAAAAAAAATCTAGTTTATCTGTTAAAAGCCTTTATTATTTAAATAAACTTACTTATCTCCGTAAAGAAATATTTTTCAGTTTTATACAATAGAATTTGTTATTTCTTTTACCTTAAAAAAAAGCATATATACATATATAAATAAAAAAAAATGCACCTATGATGCTCAACACCACATGTATTTTTCTATTTTATTTATTACAGTATTTGTTTCTGGAACAGAGTTAGAGTTAGCATTTGATTAGTTGCAGGTACGTACGTACGTACGTATATTGTGATGACTGAACAACGGCGACTCGGTCGCTCCACAATCCAGAAACTCGCGTAACCGACGGTTGGTAACCTTACGAAAAAGGTGTGTTAGATTTGGCTGGTGGGTAATTAAGGCTTCGGCTACTTCGTTCGGCAACGCTAGGTCACGTGACAATTGACTTAACGAACGACACTTTTTTAACTTTAGAGTTTTAAGGGAGTATATTAGCGTGATAGTACTCTTATGTGATGTTATGTGCAATGTATTTAATAAACTTGGGACTAGTTATTAGTGAAGCAAAACGAGAACTGATTTCTCTTGGGGGCGGGCGATAACGCCTTTATTTATAATAAGCTTTTACTTAGTACTTATTATAATCATTATCTCTATAAAAATGATTATACTGATTATAACAAATAAAACTATTATATCTCTTAAAACTATTAAATTGATTTTAAGGGCTATATCTATTATCTTCGTTATATTTGT